GATTCTGGACAATGGAGTACTTCATCAGAGGTCTTGTGCTCATACTCCTCAATAAAATGGAGTAGTTGAGAGAAAGCACAAGCATATTTTAGAAGTGGGTAGAAGCTGTTTATTTCAATCAGGACTATCATTGAGATCCTGGCCATATGGAGTATTGGCAGCAACTTATATCATCAATAGGTTGCCTAGTGCCACACTTGGTTGGGAAACTCCCTATGAGAGGGTTTATGACAAGGAAGCAGATTATCACAGGTTGAAACCTTTTGGGTGTTTGGTGTATGTTGTTAATATAACACCAATGAAAAGAAAGCTTCACTCTAGATCACACAAATGTGTGTTGATTGGTTATGTCCCAGGATGCAAAGGTTATCTTTTATATGACTTGGAAGGTGAGAAAACCCTAATCTCTAGGGATGTTGTTTTCTTTGCAAATACTTTTCCCTGTAAGGCTACACCACTAAGCAATGATACTTCAGTTACACCATTACCTTTGCCACTGGAGGATACAGAGACAGGAGGATTATTGACAATGCACCAGAAGAAGTAATTTCTCCATCAGATAATGTACAAGAAAATGTGGTTAAGGAAAGCAAAAGGTCAAAAACTAAACCAAGCTGGATGACAGATTACATTTGTAATGTTGATTCAGAGAATACATTCCTTGGGACAGAGGAGTCTTTCTTTGTGAATTTGGTGGATGATCAGGAGCCTGCATGCTAAGAGCAGGCCAAGGACAATGAGAAGTGGGTAGAAGCTATGAGAGAAGAACTGAGAGCTTTGGAACAGAATGGGACTTGGAGGTTATGCTATTTACCAACCGGTAAGAAAGCTATTGGGAATAAATGGGTTTTTAAGATAAAGATGAAAGCCAATGGAGAAGTTGAAAGGTATAAAGCCCGCTTGGTGGCAAAAGGTTACAACCAAGTGGAAGGGGTAGATTTTTTTTAAGTTTATTCACCTGTAGCCAAGTTCGTCACAGTGAGGACTTTTATTGCAATGGTGGACATAAAGGGATGGGCTTTGTGGCAATTGGATGTCAACAATGCCTTCTTGCATGGTTACCTCAATGGGGAGGTCTATATGAAGCCACCACAAGGATGCACTAAGGCAAGAGAAGGTCAGGTCTGTCATCTCAAGAGCTTATATGGATTAAAGCAAGCTTCAAGTGAATGGAATACCGAGCTTACCAAGAAGGTGATTCAGTTCGGATTGATCCAATCACAGCATGATCATTGCCTTTTTACTCAAAGGAATGAAGATGATTATTTGGCTATGCTGGTATATGTTGACGATGTGTTAATTACTGCCTCCAATACCAACATGATGACTGAGTTGAAATAATTCTTAAACAAGGAGTTTACCATAAAGGATATGGGTGCAGCAAAGTATTTTTTGGGGGTAGAAATTGTGAGAGATGTTACTGGTACTAAACTATGCCAACAAAAATATATTCTTGATCTTGTGAAGGATTTGGGATTAACAAAATGCAAAGAACCAACAACACCTCTGCCTTTGGGCCTAAATTGACAGGGTTTGATGGAAATCCCATGGAAGAGCCAGAATCATATAGGAGGTTGATTGGAAGGTTGTTATATCTTAATATGACCAGGCCAGATATCACATATGATATACAACAGCTTAGCTAATTTGTGAATAATCCATTTACCAATCATTGGGAGGCAGCTCTTTATGTGTTGAGATATTTGAAGGGGACTGTTTGTTGTGTTTTTGTCCTTATTTTCTTGTGTTTTATGTGTTTTATTTTGTGGTTTTTAGGTCCGTTTTTAGGCTCGACCGGTCCATTTTATCGTGTTTTGTGTATTTTTGTTATTGTATAGTGCTTTCGTATTTCTGCGCGTTTTCTCTTTTGTTTTGGTGTTGTTTAGGTCCAACTTGTCGAGAAGAGGAGACGGGCCATCCGAGCCATCCAACCCGAAAAATCCGACCAAGCCATACCGAGACGAAGAGAATTCAATGAGGAGAATTTTGGTCCAAGTTTCGTGCGAATCGGAGTTGTGTGCGAGAAATTAGAGCAAACCGAACTTCAAGGGGTCACCGGGACCAAGCCAATGCACGCCCGCGCCCGCGGAACCGTCCGCGAGCTCGGGAGTGTCCAGCCCTCACGCCCGCGTGCCCGCGGAGAGCC